CTCTAATCATGACAAAGGACTTTTTTACAAGTTTTATTTATGGTCGTCCAAGTCATTTTTTACTTATAGCAACCCTAAGATGAACCTATTATAGCGTTTTCTTGTCAAATTTTTTCAGAAGGGTGTGTGTGTTTGCCACTGCCATCCTCTGATGCTCCATGAAAATATGTACAACATCTGAATGAATGCTTTATGATCTATTTATGGAACGAACAATTTATTGCTCTCTTTGCAATGGCTGTTGCAAGCACTGTATATTTCAGATTCCTCAGCATTACAGAGATATTACATCTAATGAGTGCTCTAACTAAGGATGAATGTGCAGCTAAATATAACTGTTTTAATTATACTGAATAATATTCATTTTATTAAATATATTAAAATGTATTCCAGTGAACTAAAAGTGATGTGCATGGAACTCTTAATTCTAAGAATCTTAGATAAGTTTTGTCATTAACCAAGCATACTCCTGCTTGACTTCAGCAAGTTTATAATGTGCCTTCAAGACCATGTTTAGGCCTGAAGCAAATTAAAATCCTACACAAAAACTATGCTCATGGGAATGGATTTTCTGTTAACATAATGGGAAGTGAAATACAGTCAGAGCACCACATTCAGAACTGGATCATATTCCGTTTTCTTCAATCTGAGAAAATCCCAAGATTCAGCAATTAATTGTAAAGATCTTACAGGAAAATGACAATACTTCCCCCAAAAAAGTGAGAATAAATAAAACTACGCCTCCCAAACCAGATTTATTAGTTAACACTGACCTAAGTCCTATTATTCCTGACTAGAGTAGACCCATTAAATCAAGAGGCCTATAGTATTTGGGAGTAACACAACAGGATTCTAACCATTGGTGTTATTCATTGATTTTTACATCTACTTAACATTTATTAGCGTGATATGAAGCGGTATATAAATGAAGCTGCTCTGCTTTATTGAGAAGAGATATTTTACATTACATAGTTGTATCTGTTTAATACTACTGTTATGGCTCCATCCCAAGGAATCCTTGGATTTCTAGTCTGAAAAAACCAAGACTCTTTGACTAGAGAACGTTACAGACCTCTTCATAATTGCAGCGGACCCTCAGTATCCCCTGGGGTTTGGTTCCAGGACTACCAGCACCACATGGATGCCAAAGTGTAGTAAAATGGTGCGCCCTATATAAAATGGCAAAATCAAGATTTGCTTTTTGGAATTTTTAATATTTTCAAGCTGTGGCTAGTTGAAATCATGGATGCAGAATCTGTGAATACAACATACCAACTGTATCTATATTATAAATAAGATTGTACTAAATTAATCCTGTCTCTCTTTTCAGGATGCCTTGAGAACTATTGCTGAGGGAAGTGCAATACAGTTCTCCAGCAGAGAATTTCAAGTACTTAACCAAAGCACAAATCCCAGGATTCCACAGGATATAGCCACAACATTTAAAGTGGTATTAAACTGGTAAAAGTCTATAGTGCAAACCACCTTAAATCACCACACTGAGTGCTCACTTTGGCAGCACATATACTATAATCAGAGACTAATAATCATGAGTATAAGTTCCATTTCATACATATTCAAAACATGTCCTCTTTAAATCTATTTAATTATAGTTTACATTTTTGGATGCAACATTAACAAACACAGGAGGAAATTATGCACGGAACCCATTAAAGTCAGTTTGCTGACAGAACATCATCCTACTTCCAATGGGAAGGAAGGTGATTTTCCTTCTCCCAGGGTAGGTCAAAGAAACTGCTTGCACAAGTAGTTTGAATTCTACTCAAGATGCTGATATTCCTGGAAATTCCCCAGGCAGCCACATATAAACACAGTGTGGTGTTATAAGCAACTGGAGAACAATACTAAATGTTATACTGATTTGAAAAAAAATGAAGGGTATAAAAGGACTACCGTAATTTTTAACCTTGATCTGCTCACACAGAATAGTTTTCCTATCAAGTTTATTGTTGCCAAGTGCAGGTAGAGTTATTTTGGATATTTGAACACTCTCTCCCAGTACTGAACAACTTTGTTGCCACAACAGATATAATGAAATGAAAACTGCAGGTGTCTGAGGGCTTGAATGTCAAACAGACTGCTATCAGAATGCTTAGAAGGACACTGTTCTCTATACTCCCTGCTGGTTCACATAGCATACATTTTAAAGTTCTTACTTAGGATTCAGAAGATCTCTGAAGATGGAACTTTCTGACAGGGAGTTGGGGAATATTTTGTTATTTACTGTTGTTGCTGTGTGCCTTCAAGTCATTTCCAGCTTATGACAAGCCTATGGTGAATCTACAACAGGATTTACTTGGCATGATTTGTTCAGAGGGGGCGTTGCCATTTCCTTCCTCTCAGGCTGAGAGTGTGTGACTTGCCCAAGTGGGTTTCCATGGCTGAGCAGGGATTTGCACCCTTGTCTCCAGAGTTGTAGCCCACTGCTCAAACCACTTTATTTTACATGCTGGCTCTCTATTACTTGAGGAAAAGGAAAAAGTAGGTCATTTATGATTCAGACTCAAGAATATCATTTAGTACAACTTGCCCCAAGCTATAGTTCAGAAAACTGTGGAAGATAGTGCATTTATTCCTCTCCCAACCCCAAAACCCAATTTGATAGCAAAGAGAAGAAAATAGTACAAAGGCAGTGGTTATTGTTGTCCCAGGACACCCCTTATTTTGTAACACACACAAAACATTAAACAAACACTACACAGACACACACAATGGTATAGCACACCTAAGGAGATAGACACATTTATATGCATGTGACAAAAATGCAGTAAGTTGTGTCTCTTGCTTAATGGGAAAAGAAGCATATGGAAGATGGGATGCCCTAATCTTGCTCCTTGACCACTTTTCTGTGTTTGCATTTTCAAAGACAGGAAGAAAATAAAAATAAAGCTGAAGCAGCCAAACACGGCATTTCTGGAGACCAGGGTCTCAATCCCAGCTCAGCCATATAAAAACCCACTGGCTGACTTTGGGCAAGTCTCAGCCTCAAAAGATGGCAAAGGCAAACCCCCTCTGAAGAAATTTGCCAAGAAAACTCCATGATAATCACATAGGTCCCCACAAGTCTGAAACAACTTGAAAACACACATCAAAAAACAGAAAGGGAGGTACAGTACCTCTCTCTTATAAACCTCTCCCTTGCTTTATACAAATCTCCTTCCTGAACAACTATCACACCTGGTTCTGTTTTTATCATTCCCAATAGAAAATGTGGGATGGTAGAGTGCCTATCAATGTCAATGGAAAACATAGCCATAAAAATGTAATGGTTCTATATATGGAGGTGAATGGGGAAGAATTCTGTAGGTACACAGATCATGAACTTGTATAAAATAAATTAAAAACCAACACCAAAGCATACTGATGGGAACAGAGGGAAGACTGGAACAATTTCATTGTACAGAGGTCCAGACTCAAACTAAACATCAAAGATGGAAACTCTCCTCTTTGCTGATAACCTTTTTGTTTGGTGATAGTCAGGACAAAGTATGCCCCAACCACAATTCCATTCCACTTATTTTTCCATTGTTTCCTTTGAATGACTTTGGGAAAGCAAGATTCTAAGCAGAAACGGAAACTATAGCCACAAAATGTTGAAGGCATCCACTAAGGGGAGAAAGTAGGCATGAAAATGCCTGCTTTAACCCTTAACAGCATATACAGTGGGGCCCTTCACATTTGCTGGGGTTAGGGGCACAGGACCCCCGTGAAAATGGGAGGGGAAAACACCTTTTTTACCTGAAAGACCACCTCTCTAGGAATCTCTAGGTCTTCCAGGACAATTTTCTGGTCAAGATCTGCCAGATGTTGACCATGAAATTGCATTGGAGGACCTACAAATGCTTACAGAAGTGTTCTCTCTATGAATCTCTAGGTTGTCCAGAGAGACTTTTGGCAGAGGTTGACCTATGGATTCCTAGAGACCATATTAATCAAATCTGTGAATAATCAAATCTGTGAATAATCAAATCTGCAAAAGTCAAAGCTGCAATTGTGAAAGGTCAATTGTACTATAAACCTTAGACTCTCCTGGACCTGAGGGGAAAGGGATGCATGCACAGGGTAACAGTTAATACACTGACCAGTTAGATTGCCCCTTTAGGGCGATATAGCAAAATGCAGAAAGATACCAAGGAGACTAGAGGAGGGGGAAAGACTACTATAAGCCTCAAAAAATAAAACAAGGCTCCTGTTGCAGTGATAGCCGGAACCTTGGACAGGATTCGCCTGGAGATATATGGAAACTTTTTATTTCATGTCTCCATTTGTAACTTTTCCAAGCAGATCACAGCTTCCACTATACCTAGGAAAACATTACCACTCACTGACAGAAAGATGATTTTTGTTGTTGTTGTGTGTCTTCAAGTCGTTTCTGACTTTATGGTTACCTTATCCTGGGGGTTTCTTGGCAAAATTTCTTCAGAGGGTGTTTGCCATTGCCATCCTCTGACAATGAGAGTATGATTTGCCCAAGGTGGGTCTACATGGCCTAGCTGGGATTTGAACCCTGGTCTCGTCATAGCCGAATGCTTAAACCACTACACCACACTGTCTCTTTACAGCTTAGTTACACTGGCTCTCAGCAAGCTCATTAAGCAGCATTTATCCTTGCATCTTCGTTTGCAGGGATCAAAAGGTATGAAGAATTTATGTGTGGTACCCTAGCTCACTCTGCAGAAAACAGAAAATTGGAAACAATGAATTGACTCCGATTCTGCTGCAGAATAACTATTCGTCAGATACATACCTTTGTAGTTAATTGTTTTTGGTTGTCATTGCTCTACAGACTTTATGTGTTTTACTGTAAAAACTCAATAAAATTTTAATTGTAAGTAGTAGATGAATTGAGGGGATTTCCCCCCCCCCCCCATTTCTAAATATAATAGTGTAGAGCAGGATAAAGCACCTGAAGATTAAAATAAGACACCTGGAAATGCATATATTCACACATACTGGTCTAGGCATGTGTGAAAGGGAAAGCCAGTGTGGTGCAGCAAAATGCGTGTTGGACTAGGGCTCTGGAGACCAGGGTTCGAATCCCAGCTCAGTCATGGAAGCCCACTGGGTGACTTTGGGCAAGTCACACTCTCTCAGCCTCAGAGTGAGGAAAAGGCAAACCCTTTCTGAACAAGAAAACCCCATGATAGAGGCGCCATAAGTCTGAAACGACTCTGAAGGCACACAACAAAGGCACACCCGCAGATGGGTAATGGGATTTCTCCCTGATCCAAAAATCCTCCCCTCTATTTCTCTGAAGCAACTCCCAAAACTAATACAATCAAAGATATTTAACCTTTCTTGACTAAAAGAAAAACAAAGCCCAATGGTGTCTGCAATGCCAGCAATTTTAATGTTAAAGACATATAGACAAAGGCTGGATCCACACTCCAGAAATAGTCCAGTCTGACACCACTTTAACTGCCATAGCTCGATGCTATGAAATCTTGGGAATTGTAGTTCGTGGCACCAGAGCTCTCAGACAAGGGAAGGCTAACAAATCTCTCACAAAAACTACAATTCCCAGAATCACATAGCACTGAGCCATGGCACTTAAAGCAGACTCAAACTGGGTTATTTATGTAGTGTGGATGCAGCCAGAGAGCTAAACGTTTCCCAAAAACTACAATTCCTAGAATTCCACAGCACTGAGCCATGGAAATCAAAGCAGTCTGAAACTGGTTTATTTCTGCAGTGTGGATGCAGGCACCAGGGGTGTTTTGGGAATCCTAAACGAAACACTCACCCACTTTTTATTTTTTAGATAAGCATCCCACCTACCAACACAACCCCCCCTTTTTTTGTTTCCCTTCCCTGCTGAGGAAGGCCTAAACAGACACCACAGGAATAATCCAGTTCGAGATCGCTTTAGCTTGCCTTGGCTCAATGCTGGGGAACTGAGGGCC